TTCCATTTCCATACTTGGGCCCCATCTTTTGATTCTCACCCTCACCTAGGCCTGAAAAAGTCAAATAAAACAAAAGTAACATGGAGAATTCCAAAAAACTGTTCTCTCAAGCTCTCTCTCTCTCTCTCTCTCTCTCTTTTTTTTTTTTTTTTTCCCCCACTCCTGGATTATACTTACCAGGCTCTTTTATGCCTGCTCTTGAGACTGCATACCCCATCCCTGGTGTGGATTCCTTCTGTGTGTTGTTACCTGCATTCATTAAGAAATAGTTCATTTTTCAGTGCGCTGCGCTGGCTCATCTGAATTTGCATCACAGTATGCAGCTTGCTCACTGCACCTCTTGCTTGCTTGTTGGGCTGCCTCTAGCTCCTGACAAGGAGAAATAGGGCACCAGTACAATTACCTTTAGGGATGCTTCCAATATGGAAGCCACTCTGGCTTCTGTGACTAAGGGCTCATGAAGGTCACTTAGCCCTTCCTTAGATACATCTTTCATATTATTTTTATTTCATTTTACCACTTTGATTCCTAAATAGTCCAGATTATTTTCTACCCATATCATACACACCAGTCATTCAAAAAGATGCCTCTTTCCATAAATATAAAGCTATTAATCACAAATGTTTTATTTACATGCCATTGTATGAGTGACTCTTCCATACATTAGTCATAATGTAGTACGTAGCTTTATTTCCTTTATTTAAAAATAGCTGATGATTCTCAGTTCAATGTCTATGTTAATGTCAATAATATCAGTGTCTATTTTGCAATGCTAAAAAAGTGAGGGGGAAGGGTTTTGACAGGGATGAGTTACTTGGCTTGAATTGTTTTTTGTTTTTTGTTTTTTTCTTGTTTTGTTCTTTTGCATTCTATTCAATCAAACTCCCACTGGGAAAAAAAAAAAAATATATATATATATATATATATATATATATATATGCAGCAAAATTGGCAAAACCATCCAGGTTTTTCACCAGCCCATCAAGGGCATTTCTGGCCATTGTTAAATAAGAAGTGTAATGCATAAATATTTTAGTGTGTCATAAGGTAACTGTCTGTTTTATGTGAGCAATGAAAGGAACTAAAAGCAGTGGAGTCAGGAAGGAGGAAAAAAATTAGAGAGTATTTTTGCCCTGTGTGGGATCAGATTGTCCAGGCATTGAACAAGACAGGGACACACAGGTTTTCTGGGTCATGATCTGCACCTCACCACATCAAGATCCCAAGAGGAAACAAACGCTGATCCATCAGCATTATTTTTGCCTGATTCACTCTGTGCTCTGTAAAACTGTGTGTATGGGCATGTGATGCAGGTCATGAAGGTATGGGCTGAAATGAGAATTCCCAGTGAGAGAGCAGAACCAACTGACCTAAGTCTGCTGCCACTTTTGTAGGGTTATGTGCTCTTCCCAAAAGGAATGACTATTGCCAAAGAAAACCTGTTTCAAGACTGATAACCACTGAGAAAATTAAAGTCTTAAATAAATTTAAAGGATGCCTGCACTTGTTTCATGTTTTTCAACAAAGACAATGGCACTGCCATTTCACAACGAAAGGACGTGGGTTATTTTCATCTTGGTGTCAACAGGCCTTAGAGTTAACCAAGGCAGCATTCTTATTAGGTTACCTGTTTCCAAAGACTAAGCATTACAAGAGGCATCGTATTTAAATTTCAGATTTGTGGATGTGAAATTTTTCTTATGTAGAGGCCAGACAAAAAGCGGGTCAGAGCGCACTTCTCACTCAAGCTAGAAAGCTCTGTTGAGTTGTCTAGATGAGGAGCAAGTTTTAACAATCCCGTAGACTACTGGAGAATTATGCAGTCTCCAAATGTAGGAACACACTGACCTTTCTTCCTTTTGCTCCCCAAATCCCCCTGGTCTCAGAAGCAAGGCAAATTTCTGCCTATCAGCAACCATGCCTGGCACGCAGAGGTCCATCAGATGACCTCTTTGCAAGATGGACTGATTTCATGATACAGAGGGTAAAGCCGGATTAAGGTTAAGCTCTTCCTTACACAAAGCACCGTACACCTTGAAAGTTAGATGTATTAGTCTGGATGAAGGTAGCTCTTTGTGTGTCCTTGTGCGTGTGTTTTAAAGTGTTTCACAGGAGGCTGGTAGAGACCACTAAAGACCATGTGCTACATTCTGGTATTTACCTCTATTGTCTGATTTTGCCCCTTTTCACCCCACCAATTTTGGCAGCACCTTCTCCTCCCCCCCAGTTGAAAATAACAAGAGCATCTTGGCAATTTTGCCAATGCAACGGGTGTCTGAGATTCTCAATAGCATCTATTGCACCTCCTAGGCCATTCTGTGGGCAGGCATTTAATGTTCATATTGGGGAGGAAAATGCAGTTTTTTGCAATATGAAAGATATTTCCTTTTCCTAAACTTAATCTGAGACCTCACATCAGCAGCTATGTAAATAAATCTTTTCTGCAATAAAAACTTGTTGCTTGTAGTCTGTCACATTAAAATAAAGATTTGAGTGTGGTGAAAAATCATAAATGGAAAAGAAAAAGCTATTTACGGGAAATCAAATGAAAGAAAACTCCTTTTGAGACAAACACCTTGATTGTATGGAATCGTTGCTTTATATTAGAAGATATTGTAGTGAGATTTAATATTATATCCAGAACACTACAATTTCATAACTACAAGCCTTATGAATAGGAAAGAAAAGCATTTGCATGTAGGACCTAATGTAAAGATTCCTGAACTCATTTATAGCTTCTTTTTTTTTTTTTTCCCATTGACTTCAATGCACTTGATCCAGATTAGCCTTCCCAGAAGTGCTGGAGGGAAGCTGAGCGTGGAATTGAGGCAGTGAGAGGTAGTGGCTCTGTCTGGTTGGGGGTGATGACAGGACAGGGGGCTCAGGTTGTTTTGATTTGCTGAACTTGCGGTTGGAATGTGGGAAGAAAGGCTGCCACTTCTTTTATTGATATTTGTTGGGAAAGACTCATTATATATTACTCCATATGTATGTGTATGTGCATGTGAGGTTTTTCAGAGCTTTGGATGAATGCCTTTTATATAGCATTTTTAAGATCAAAATCTATACAATTATGTGGATTCCTGCATGTAAATGATTTCAAGGAGTCTGGTGTTTTAGCATTTTTAATTTTCTAGTAGATTTTACGATAGTGTAAAGTGATAAATTATCTTTTGCGGCTGCCAGAGTTATTTAACTATCTGCAGACACGCCATTAGCAGGAGCAGCCCATGCCCAGCCGGTGTTCCGCATCCCTCCCCAGGAGACCGCTCCCAGGGAAAGAGGGTTTCCAGGCATTTCCCAAAAAGGCCCTTGGGCCAGCAGTGCCACCAGGGTGCTGGGGAGCCCCAGACAGCCCTGGTGTGGTCCAGCCAGGAGGACAGGTTCCTACCACGCAGTGGAGAAAGCTACCAAAGAAGCATCAGATATTATTGCCTTTCCATCACTACTGGCCTGCGTTAAAAACGGTGACAGAGAAGAGAAAGGTTCCATTTCCCATTACCAGATATCCAATCCCCCTAGAAAACATCTGCTGAATCTGGGATCATGCCATGGTATTAGCTCTTCTGTTGCATGCTGTTTCATTGGCTGTTCTCAGCGCTGCCCTGTCTATCACAACGCATAATCTCTTTTCAGAGACGTTTCAACCACATCATTAGGGTCTCCAGTCCCGTTTCTTTTAAAATCAGTGGTAGTTTTTTTTGCCTTTGGCGCACAACTTGAAGTTTGGAAACTTGACTCTGTGCAGCGTGTAAGAAAGGGAACAAAAGTTTCCTGATGATTTCATGTGACAAAAGTTGTGCAAGGAAAAGAAGTGGGTCTGCAGAAATTCTGTAAGTTGCCGTGTTTATATTCCCAAGAAACTCACGCTGGAGTGCCTCAGACACATAACTAAATGCTCCTCAAAATGCTCATTATTGAAGACAGTAAAAGAAAATGGTCTTTAGAATTCATGTGATATACTACCAACTGGAGGGAGAATAATACAGAAATACTTTCTTGATGATGTGTGCTAAAGCAGCAGGCATTTAAGAGCAATGGATGTCAATCTCTGAGGTTTTTGTAAAGAATTGCAATTTATGACGTGTTAGGGTAAACAGTTGGATTATATTTCTGAAATGCATGTTCCATCAGGTAAAATCATTGTGATTATAGGCTCTAGTACTTTAAGTAAGTAAGTTATGCACTAAAAGGCTGAAATTGTAAAACAAGTATGCTTATGCTTAACTGTTAATCCTTCTTTGTATCTACGCTGAGTAAACTACAAGAAAAGAGAAACTGCATTAAACAATAAAGGCATAAATGGCATGTTATGTCATCTTGATAAACAATGACTGTTATACTGTTTTCCTTCAAGAAGCGACTGTGACGGGCCTCTGTATTCTCCCTCAATGGAGAATGTGCCTGAGTGTAAAAAAAAAATGGAGGATTATTTAGAAGTTACTTTGTTCATGCCTCGCTGTGAAAGCAGCACTTTCTCTGTATCTTCTTGCTTTGCTGCTGCTTTGCCTTCGCTTCCTCGGTTCTTATCTACCCCAGAAAGCCGGACTTGTTATTTCAGCAACCACCTACTATCATGCAGAATATAAGATTCAAGTAAAGCGAAATAAAACTTGCTTTAAGTGGTTTTGCAAATGTTTGACAGCAGAAGATAATAAATGAAAATAAATCTTCAGTATTTCTCCTAATGCAATTTGCGGCATGTCAACGTCAAAGGATTCTAACAACAAATCAACAAATATTTGAATGAAAACAATATACATAACTTATTTTTCTATATTAGAAACAACTGTCAAACAATTACTGTATGACTTCATGAATTAGTTGGTTGTTTTGAAATATTCCTGCTAGGATAAAAAAATAAAAATAAAAAAAAGGCTGTACAGGCCTTTGAGCCTGAACATATTGTGTCAATCACAAGCATATGCGATGTATCTAAGACATGAGGTAAAAATTTTCTTTATAAATTATTTCATAAATAAATAATTTGCCTGAAAAAGTTTATGAAAATATTTTTGCTTTTATTAAGTTCTCTACAGTTCTGTTGTGGTGAATATAAACAGATTGATATTGACATCTTCTTGATCTGCTTTATTTTAACTTGAAATGCAGAACGTATCATGCAAGCTTTTTTTTTTTTTTACAAAGATACTGTAACATACTTTTCCTGAGAGTATTTCATTAAAGTCGTCGACTTGAAATTATGAAGACACGTTTTGTCTTTCTAATCTCTGTTTAGGAATGGCTTCTGCGGTTTCATTTTAAAAGCATGTGCACAAAAAGCTTATGTCTTTTACAAATACATATCTCGTATTGTTCTACAGGTGAAAAAAGGTGTGTTTATTATCAAGGTTTCCACGTGTTGAAACCTGCACTTTCATGGTTACCAATCTTCTCTGTGTTTTATCTGTCATAATGTGACTAAAATCTAGGAGAACTGCAGGCACACATGCAAGCTGGAGAAGATTTAAGGTGTGGGGGGCATCATTTCCTGTTTTAAAAGAAAAAGACGTTAATAAGTCTCACTAGAGCAGAGAAGCAAAGGGGAATAACCCTTGTTTAAATATTTTCCACTGGAGCCCTGCTTGTAAGATGCTTAGCCAAGTAATCAGACAAAATACCTGCTGATTTTAACCCTTCACAGGCAAGGCGTCTCCGAGCGAACAGCCACTCTGGTCTGGCTTGGCAGCAACAGCAGAACCTAAGCTGCAGAGAAGAACAGGTCTGAATCAGTGTAGATGGGACAAAAGTATTCACTAGTCCGAATTCTGCATTCACTGAGGTTCCTGAAAGCGGTTCGTCTCTGACTGCAGTTCTGCTATGGCACTTCCAGCCTGAGAAAAAGTAGAGGGTTATGAAGTCAGGAAACATTCTCCCTGCGCATGTGAGTGAGGTGCTACGGCATATGGCCCCGCTGCTAAAGCAAACTTTAAATTCTGGTGCTACTTTCCTCCACTTTCCGTCATAAACTTCTCCAGTGCTCCACACTGTCCGTGTGCTGCTGGGCGCAGAGGGAGGGGGTCCCACACAGACCCTGTCAGTGCTCCCCTCCTGGGCTCTGGGATCCCACCGTGCGCCGCAGCCTGCAACTCTGCTACCTTCCATTTGCAACATGACAGGCTCACCTCTTGCATGTGAATTATTGCTTTGCTATTCATAAAGCGCTTTATCAGACAATCCTACAAAAGAACTTAAGGGGGAAATGTGTTGCTGGGTGATTTACATGAGCAATTACTTTACAAATCTGCCAGTAGATTATCCTAAACATATATGAAGAATGTTTAAGCTTGGAGAGGGGACTGAAAACGCCATACGCTTTACGGGAGGGTTTCATTTGCGTCAGCGTGTATCTCTGAAGGTTTTATGCCTTATAGCTATGTATTTGGGAGGGAAAATGTGAGGAAAATGTTATGTCATTTCAAGCATTTTGGGGGAAACAGCTTTGTCTCTAACTTAAATCGTAATGATTTAACTCTTTTCCAGCTCCTCATTTGAATAATGTGTTACTAGTTGCGAGCGACCAGAACACTTGTGTTTTAATGTGAAATCAGTTCAAAGCGACTTGCACGGGAGGAAAAAACTCGCCATATAAAGTCACCTAAGTGCAGAAAAAATTGTGTCCAAATGCCCAACAAATGTTTACATAGTTTTTAACGCCTACTATATTTGGGGTTTTAAACCCTTTCAGGGGAACCTTTCACGTACTGCTTCTCCTCGGAGTTTTTTACTCCGACATACAGACTCCTGGCAATTTGTGGCAGGGGAGAAAGCGGCGCGTTTTGAGTCGGAGAGGCTGAGAGCAGAGAGGGCAGTTGTAAGGGTCTTCTCCAGGGCAGCTCGAGACCTAATTTGTGCTTGGTGTTAACGAGAAGGCACCCACGGGGCACGTTCAGCGGAGGACTGGGAAGTGTCCGTCTGTCTGTCTGGTACAGCAGGGGGAGAGGGGCGAGCAGAGCCCCCCAGGCATCCCCCCCGTGCCCTGTCCCGCGGGTGGGCAGCGGCTCGGAGGTGGTGCTGGTGGTGTCGTTGTCATTTTTGTGAGGTGCTGGGGGTGCTGTGAGGCGGTGGCGGTGTTGGTGACTTTTCAAAATCCGTACAGCAGCGATCAATGCGATCGATAAAAAGAAAAGAAAAAAAAAAAAAGGCACCAAAACCTCGCGGGGGCCGCGCTGGGGATGCGGCTGTGGCCTGCGGGCTGCTCCTCAGACACCCAACTCGGCCAAAGCCTCGGCGGCCCGGCCCGCTCCCCGCTCATGGCCGCCCCCGGGGGAGCCCGGCCCGGCCCGGCCCGGCCCTGAGGGGGGGCTGCGTGTGAGGGGAAGGGGGGGGCGGCGCGGCGGGGCCGCCTGCGCTGTCTCTTTAAGGGCGCTCCGTCTGGGGTGGCGCTTTCCTCCGCGAAGGCTCCTTTGATATTAATAGTGTCGGTGTCTTGAAACTGACGTAATGCGGGGAGACGGAGGTCCTGACAAGCGATAACAGCCCCTGATAACGCGGCGGCCGACCCGCGCTCGCAGGCCGACGCCTCGCCGCCGCCGCGCCGTGACCCGGCCCGCGACCCCCCCCCCTCCACGTCCCCTAAACTCCCTCCCCTCTCCCCAAATCCCCCCCCTCTCGGTGCTCCCGCCCCCCCCCCCCCCCACCTCCCCCCCCTCACCCCCCGGTACCGCCGGCCCCGTCGCCCCCTCCCCGCGGCGCGGGGCCGAGGGGGGGAGGCAGCGGCAGCGGCAGCAGCGGCAGCAGCAGCGGCAGCGCCGCGGCCCCCCGCCCGCCCGCCCTCCCCGTGTCCCGTCCCCCCCCGTCCCCCCCCGCCGCCGGCCACCGCCACATAATCCGCGGCCAACTCCGCCGGCAGCAGGAGACGGTTCATGGCTCGCGCCGCGGCTCCACCATCTTCCAGGCTGCCGGGGCTGCTGCTGGCGGTCGATCAACAGGTAAAAAAAAAAAAAAAAAATTAAAAATTAAAAAGCCGGGGAAGACGTGTGTGGGGGGGGGGAGGTTGGAGGGGGGGTGCGCGGCGGGGCCGGGAGGGGGCGGCGCGGAGGATGGGGGGGGGGGGGGGGGTGAAGGAAGGGGGGGGCGTGTGCTGGGGGGGCAGCGTGTGGCGGGGGGGGCAGCGAGGGTGCCCCCCCCTTCAAAAAAAAACACAAAACAAAATAAAAACAAAAGGGGGGTGGGTGTAACGTGCTTCTCGGATTGCAGGTTTTTTTTTTTTTTTTCGGTGCATCCCCCCCCCCCCCCTCCCCTAAAGCCCCCCCCCCGCAAAGCGGGTCAAAGCCATGTGCGATGGCTGCGGAGCGGCGCCTTGAGACCCGCCGGGGTCAAGTTCAGCGGCGGCGGGCAGGGGGAGCAGCCCCCGGCCCGGAGGCGGGGAGGGGAGCGGCGGCTGCTGCTGCTGCTGCTTCTGCTGCTGCTGCTGCTGCTGCTGCTGGCGCGGCTCGGCTCGGCTCGGCTCGGCGCTGCCCTTATCTCCGCCGCCGTGCCCCGGCACCGGGGGAGGAGGGGAAGGCAGCCGCGGGGGGTGGAAGCGGGAGGCGAGCGCCCGGGGTTTGTGCATCCGACTGAGCCGCAGCCTCCGTCCTGCGCTGCCCCGTCCCGTCCTGCCCCGCCGCTGGAAGTTTGCACGGGGACCATGACAAGCGGGGCGCGGAGGCACCAGCATGAAGAGTAGTAAGTTTGGGAAAAAGTTTGGGTATTTTTTTTTTTTTGGTCTTTTTTTTTTTTTTTCCTTCCTTCGCTCCCTTCCCCCCCCCCCCGTCCCTGTTTTTTTTTTTTCCTCCTCCTCGCTCGGGGTCCCCGCCGGTCCCCCCTCCCCCGGGGGAAAGGCGACGCGGCGGTGCTGGTGATTTTGGTTTTGTTTTGTTTTCGGGTGTTTTTTTTTTTTTTTTTTTTTTTTTTTTGAAACCAGAGCACGGAGAGACGTAAAACTTTTCCCTCTTAAAGGCGAAGCTCTGCTCGCAGCGCCGCGTCCCCGCGCTCGGCTCTCCCCTGCTGCCACAACTTCGCGGAGCCTCTTTTTCTTTTTTTTCCCACTTCTTTTTATCTCCCCCCCCCCCATTTTATTTTTTCCTCCCCCCTCTCCCCTATCTCCTCGGCCCGGCTGCTGCTTCCCTAACCCCCCCCCCCCCGGCTTCATTGCCCCGGCCGTTTGTCGGCACTGAAATGAATGGAGGCGAGGCCGGGGATGCAGGGGGGCTGCGGGGGGCCGGGGCCGTGCCGAGCCGTGCCGGGCCGTGCCGAGCCCCCAACCCCTGCCCCGGGCAGCCAACCCTTCCCGGGGGGGCCCTGACATGTCGGGGGGCTTTGTTTATCCTCCTCCCTGCCGCAAATCACGGCGCTGGGACAGCCCGGCACTCCTACACCGTGCCTAGTGGGGCCCGCTAGCCTTTATTTTTTTTTTAATCCCCACCCCCCCCTCCTCAATGCATTTATTTTTTAAAAAGGGTGATGTTTTCTATCCGCGAGTGGCAAACTTCTCAAGTGCAGCTAGTGGAAAGGGGGGAACCCCCTGGCTCCCATCTCTCCTGGCAGGGCTGGAGCCAGGGCCAGGCGTGGGGGCGAGCATCCCTGCCCCACGCTCCTGTCCCAGGTGCCCGGCGTGGTGCTGGAGGCAAACATCCACTGAACGTGCCGCAGGTTTTATTTGATCGGGCTCAGTGAAGTCTCTTGAAGCAGCCAGCAAACTCTCTGCCATTCAGGAGGTCTTCTTCAGCGACGCAGCTGAATCCTATGGATGTTGGTGGCATCATGTTACTTTCCTGTTGGTTTTAGGAAAAGTTGAACGTTCAGAAAAGGCTGCCAGAGTTAAAAATGCAAGGGGCAGCAAAGGAAAGTGGTGGTAAGAGCCAGTTCCTGACGTGGACAAAATGAGAATAAAAGTTACAGTAGTCTTCTGAACTGCACTTTGTGTTTTTCTCATGTTCACAATACGTGTGTTAGGTTAGACGGCTCTCTCAGATATTCCACCAGAGTGACATTTAGAAAAAAAAAAACACCACCAACAACTCCAAAAGAGTGAGTTGTTGTTTTTTCTTTTCTTTCTTTCTTTCTTTTTTTTTTTTCTAAGTACTCTGGGTCTATGAGTAAATACAGGGTTTGTTTAAGAACATCAACTATTTCCTGTAAATTGTGATGCTGACAAGATTGTCTGGAAATGATATCAACACTTTGAAAGATTTTTTTTTCTCTTTTTTTAACCACTGAATGAAAGTTTGTTAATAACGTGGTCAAATCAAAGAAGTGGAACACTTCTCTGTAGAGAAAAAAAAAAAAGACTTTTTATTTTTTCCTCTTGAAAAATAGATACCTGCCTGAGGTTTGCCACATAGCACCAATAGTGCATCATTGCCTACCTACAAGTGAATCCTCAGACTGTTTGTGACAACAGAAAGTCTCCTTCACCTTTTTAAGACCCAGAGAAATTAGATACGAGAAGAGCAGTCAGCTCATAATCCACCCTGCTCTGTCTGGTTATCACTTTTTTGTTGTTGCTGCATATAATAACTTTTCTCTGTTTGAAACTTTGCATATACGTAGTCACAACAAAGTAAGTAAAGGGCAAAGTTGCATCAGCTTTTAAGTTTACATGTTTTGCTTCTGATCCTCTAACAGTCTCTAAGTAATACTGGGCAATTTTTTTGCGTGTGAGAATATGGCTTTATTTTTTTTTCTTTATTTCATAGTAATGTTAATAAAGGAAAAAAAATGTAAATGATAACTTCAGAGATCTGAGACTTCTTTGGGCATCAAACACTTACAATGCAGCCAGGTTATCCTCTTATATCCTCCTTTAATGCTTTTGTAGCATAATTTATACTGTAGCTTTGTGAGTTGCCTTCTGTCTTTATCGGCGATCGAGTAAATTCCGTGTTATTTTATGAGTCCTTAGCCAGGATTGTTGCTCTATCATGCGTCGTGTATTGCTCGTAGTAAACTTTTATAGTATGCACTATTATCATGCGTGCTCTGGCTGCGTGTGAAGAATATTATTATTCACATATTGTGATTGTGCATTAATAACAGCGTAGTGCTAATTCCTCTGTGTGGACTGGGGTGTCTGTAAGATGCAATGGTTGCTTGTTAAATCTCTGTATTTCAAGCATATTATATTTTAATGCTAGTTGACACATAGGGTTTTATATTTTCAAAGCATTGTGCAAACAATGACTAATTACTTTCTGTTCATGTGAATTACCTCTTTTAGCACTTTATCAGGCACTTGCTTTGAAACAAAACTATTTTACATTACAGTGCGAAAGAGTTAAAAAATTAGCAAAGACGTGTAGGAAAAAACCAAAATTTTAATTACAAACAGGCATCTTTGGGTATGTATTTAAATTTTTCTTTTTATGTGGAACTTTCCTGCTAAGTTTGGGGGGGGCGTGGATGTATGAATATTTATGTCTCTTATAAACTCTTGACAATATTTTAATGTAATAATCTTAATAGAAACCTTCTCAGATCTTAACTGCAGCCACACTGGCAGTATCGCTTTAATAAAGGTTTGTGGGTAACACCAAATATAACATTGTGAGAAAGTTTATGGTTAAATATTTTTGAACATGACAGGCTGGGAATCTGACAACCCTTTTTGTTAGGTGAAAGTAAAGTGGAAATAAATTACATTTTTAATACAGTTTCAGTTAAAACAAACTGCCACCTGGTAGTAAAAGTATTGGCCTTGAACAGAAATATATTCTGATTAAGATATTCTAACTGGTGTGTAAAATGAAGCCATTCATTCAGCAAACTGACAACTTTCCAGTTGGTGTTTGCCCTTGCTTAATTTAGTTTCCTCCACACAACTAGTGAGGTAGTCTGGGTCTGTTTTTGGCAGACCTGGGCAACTGTAAACTCAGGCGTTTTGGTCCCCAATACTACACCTCGGGAGGTAAAAAGCAATTGGTTAAAAATAATAGCAGGCAGGGATAAGAAAAAAAAAGACAAACACTTTCTTCTTTTTCGTTTCTGAAACTTTCTGAAGTTCTTACCTAGTGAGAAAACAATGCTATTTTCAAATCCTGGTGATTAATACTAAAACCAGCGTAGTCTGCACCCATCTATTGTATAAATACCATTGCCTGTTGACCTTTGGATACATTAATTACAGCATATCTGGTCTAGGTTCTACTATTTTTGTCTGTCCAGAAGATAAATAAAAGTGCCCTTTCCAGTCCTCCTGGAGAAGGAGAAGAACTTTTTTTCTGGGTACTGTCATGAATTATGGAGTTCGTTTTCATACGCTCTGCCAATGAAGCTCTCTTTTTCCTTTCAAAAGATAAGCCTGCACCCAAAGAGAGAATATTTTCCTACTCGAAGACTATTTTCAGTTCAGTTTTTATTGCGTGTAAAAACTTTCTAGGCTTTGCTTTTTTTGGAGTGTGTTTGCTAATTAAAAGAAAAAAAACACACTTAATGAGTTATATCAGATGATGCGACGGATTAAAGCACAATTACACCATTAAAGAGCAAATGTTTACAAGGGCAAGACATGTAACTACACTTTTCAGATGATGCTTATTATTCTCTCCTTGATGTAGGCTTGCACCTAATCAATAAAGGGCCTAGCAGAGCCGCACTGCTGAGCCAC